CTGGCCCAAAAAAATTCCCTACCTACCTACCATATTTTCGAATGCCATGTAATCGGAAGCAGAACTACTTTTTTTTTGGGCCTTATTCAAATGTGTCATTTCTTTGCACAAATATTAACAACAGTTGGCAGGAGCACACTGAAACAGAACAGAGCGAAGCATTTGTGTACCTTCAGGCTTGTCTATAGATATTCGTATTTGTGAAAATATTTATTTTGAAATAGTTGATCAATTCTCATGACGCAATTAATACCCGTACATATCCCAAAATTGTATGTGATCTTAGTTTTGACCGTGAGTACATTAAACGGATTTAGTTGACTGAGGATGCAAAAACACCCCACATAACTTGCTTCAGAAGAAAACAATAAAAACTGAATGCATGATTATATTCAATAATGTCGCCTGCTTGCGCAGACAAATTAAGGAGGCATCAAATGCCTCAGCAGGTGACCCTGCAACTGACATTCTGACAGGTTCCTGCTAACATTGATTGTTAAGAAGACTGCAGGGCATCTGTTTGTGTGTTCTGTCTAGCATACAGCAGCTAAAACATGAACACACACATGAACATGTCTGTATGTTGTATTGTGATTTGCTGCATACATACAATGTACACACACAATTACATACCGAGTACATGTACATTGTAATTTGCACTTTGCAATACATGTAACGGTACATGTTTACATGTACCGGTACACGTTTACGGCTGGCAGTTATACATGGGTTCTCGTAGTTCAAACCCATGCTATGCATGCATGCATTTGAATAGAATTGAAATATTTTGATATGTGACCATCTCTTTGTTTTAACCAATTTAATTACTGTTCTGGAATAGTTTACAAGGCCTGATTTTGAGAGGTCTGCACTTCAAGTCTTGGGCCACACACAGGGAGTGGATTTATTGCTTCAAATCCACTTCGATCCTACCCAACCTAACCCTCCCCCTCCACTGAAAAAGGGGGAAGGGAACACAAGGAGAAAATAAACAAACCCGTAATTTGAAATTAGCATAAGATACGTGTAACAATATAAACTGCCTATAGGGGGAGGGGGTTGGGGTTTCCCCTATTTGTACCGGTACACATACATGTATATCCAGTGGCACCCCTTAGCATCCAATGATGAACAGCCAAGCCATTGACAAATATAACTCAACTAAAACATGTAAAATGTGTTATTTGTAACAAAGTTTGGACTATATAGGGTGAGCCCAAAAGACAGTGACCAAATTAGAAAAACTATAGAGGGTACATGTATGCACGGCTGTTTTCCCACAGTAAACTTATATGCGAGATTTGACCTCAGTGAGGTCAAGTTGTGCATCTCTCTATAGCCTCTGATGACGTCATATGCATGGACCTTATTTTTAGAATTATGTGGCTCACTCCATTTCATAAAAAAATAACATCTGGGGATAAGGCCAAAAAAAAAAAGTCTCCGGTTTCTGGTATGGAGCTTGCCCCAAAAGTGGTGCGGCGACACGGCTTTTTTTTTTTTTTACCTGTTTTTTTTTTTTTTTTTTGGCTTCAAATGTCGGCTGATGACTGCAAATGGTGCCCGACTAAACTAAGTGCAAATATATGGGAGTCCAGAGAGGCCACATAAATCTTATTCTCGATCATAACCCCATCTAAAAACACGTTAAAATTGTGCAGCAGCAGAATTCCAGTCAAACCAGTGAGTTTGGCGGTTTTGAAACATCATCTTGTATTGAAAAAAAAACTTTTTCATTTTGCCGACGCGCATGGCTACGGCGACGCGCGCGCATACCAGAAACCGGAGACTTTTTTTTTTTGGCCTTAAGTACATGTTATTGACTAGTAACTGTGAAAATTTCACGTAATTCATCTGTTTTCATAGAGAGATCACAAAATTCAGCTGTCCACTGGTCACTGATCATTTCTCATTCTACAAGCTGATGAATACCCATTTAATAAATATACGATGAAACATAGAAGTTTTTCCTTTTAAAGACATACTTCATTGGTGTATCAAATTTGATTGTTTTCTAAGGAAAAAAGTAAAACTCCAGGTCACTTTCTTTTTGACTAACCCTGTTATTTTACACAATGCAGTATGCCCCAAACAAAACAATGTATCACACACTTGGTACAAATAAGCATGAAATATTTTTAGCCAAGCAAAACCTTTCGGTGCTAAGAAACTAATTTCTACTTGCAGCTTCATGTAACTTCCTGCCGTGGTTTCTATTTTAAACTGAAACACAAAACCTGCCGCGCTGACTAGTACTGAAAAGGTTATTAACCGCATGTCCCTATTTTGATAGTTTCTAATTTGCGTATTTGCGTGGTTTTGCCATTTGATAAAGAAATGTACATGTACACATGTACAGTACATGTGTATCTGTTTATATTATTCCTGACACTTCCTGGAATATATATATATTTGTTTTCGTTGAAGTTTAGTTGGTTTTTTTTCTTTTCTTTGTTTTACTTCTTTTTCAGCCATTCCCCATAGCATTTTCACATGTTTTCATCGTGGAAGGCACTTTTTGGGCACTAAAATCAATCCGATTGCCTTTATACTTGGCATACACTTTGACCATCTCAATATCTAATGTGTACCATACTGCATTGCGTTATGGCAGAACTGTGATAATAACACTTAAGTTATAACTGGTTTATTTAGTAAATTTTTGATTTACCAAAATTTCAGTGAATTCATCAAAACCCCAATTTGGGTGTTCCATTATTCTGGTGGATTAATTAATTAAAGGATCTCAAAATTTCCTCAAAAACTGCTTGAAAACAAGACATCTTGGCATGCTAAACTTCTTTTTTCTTTAGCACTAAATTTTTTTTTTTTTTCAATTGCTATCATTACGGCACTGCAAAAACACCATTGCGAATCTATATTATCTCTTATAACTGAACTACATAAACCATAAACCATAAACCATAAACTGCCCTACCAACCGGAGGGCTTCAATGGTAACTTGACTGGTTAAATGCTTGACTACCATGCAGAAGGACCCAGGATCAAATCAATGCTATGTCAAACTTTTTTTCTTTTCTTTTCTCTTTCTTTTCATAGTTTCATTTCATACAAATGCTACTTTGTATTTCAAGTAGATTTCATTTACTTCTTCGTAATCGCTTTGGAGGATTTTTTTAAAAGGGTAATACAGTCAGAGAACCGTTCAGTTGATAGTCTGGTTCCAAGAGCCAAAGATCCTCACATTAAAAACTACATGTATTCGGTCAGGGAACCAGATGGTCGATTGCCATAATAAATAGCCACTGCGTTTAATTATATCACCACAATGGCTGACAGTTTATATATGCATGAAGTAAAAATAATTTCAATATTTTGTAAATAATATCACAATGAGGGTAGGCCCTACAATAACTAATAAATGAAATCATGATTTTTTTTTAATTCACGATTTTCCTATGCTATGCAATTGCTTCAATATTTTCCCTGCTAAATAAATTTGACATTTTATCGCTTTATGATGCTGGCTGATAGTGATACTTGATAGGTCACTGCAGGGGAAAATTAGTGATGTCCACATACGGAATTCTTCCCAAAAAAATTATTCAAAATGTAAAATAATTCCAATCTTTACATACTCAGCCCCGCCGCCCCGGTTTTACAGGCCTATGTCGATGTACGTCTGGGATCCTAACTCGTTCAACAGTAGCTGTGTATAAATCCAATGACACTCCCCCAAATATTCGGCAACAGAAACCATAAAATCCCAAAACGAAACCAATCTATCCAGTAATCCAGAGATCCTCTATAACAAATACGTACCTGTTTAGTTGTTTGATTTTCCTGCTCAACCAGACACAAATTAATGTCACTCTATATTGCTAAAATTTAACGAAATTTGGAGACGAATTTAGATCACTTCATTAGTCCGGATGGCGGCCATGTTGGAAATGATGTGATGGTTCTAAAGCGCATGCGTACATACATCTCGCGAACCAAAATAATTTATGGTAAAATGGCAGAGCTTTTGAAACTGTCATAAATTTATATATCAAGCGGCCTGACGTTTGGATCTTAACAAGATCTCCTGATGGATGCTTTGCCAAATATACCACTCTTATTAAGATTCTTCAGAGGCAAAATTAAGACATGTGTGTGTGTGTGGGGGGGGGACACACAAGCTCGCGTGGGTTAATTGCGGAAAAAGAATTGAATCACAATAGACTGAGGGATTAAATTTATAAAGGTGCAAAACTTAATTTTTAGCAAATAAAAGTTCTTCGTGATCATTTCTGTGACTGGTAGTTCATTTTGTTGACTGTTTGTTTTGTTATTGTTCGGGAGTTAAGGAAAACACCAAATCATGGATCAGTGCGAAATTACTGCTTCCTCATCTCGGCAAAGGCGAGGCAGCGCAAATGTGCCAACAAAAAAAATATTTCAAACTTAAGTTGAGTTCAAGTTTTGACCATGGAGGTAGAATTACCTCCATGTTTTGACGGATTCATAATAATGTACATGTACATGTATGCTACGCAGTTTATTGCTGTTCGAATTTGGTCAATCGATTCGGAGAGAACATACTCGCTGATAATTATAGTGGGGGCGCCCTGCTTACTTTGCGGCAATGCGATCGCGACGAGCACACCATACAAACAGAATGGAGTCTACCCAATGCAAAGACAGATCATATTCGTGTGAAATTGTGAATTGTTATTTGTAAAGGTTGGAAAATGAAAGGTTTGAAATACGTACATTTTGAAGTACATGTACGTACATGTTGTTCGTGCAAGTATTTTTTTTATTTCTTTAGTTAGTAGAAGCGATATACTGCGTATACACATGACATGAATATGTTTTCAGGCGAGCAACTAGCAAGTTCACGGGCACCTGTATTGTGCATATTTAATTGAATGACGCATGCGCAGTATACTGAATAAAACGACACTTACGGCGCTTCAGACGAAGCTTTTTTTCTGTAACTGTGAGTAGAATGTAACATGCAGAAAGCACAACCTAAAATTTTCTCTCTGAATTTCATACTTACCTGGCTCAGGAGGTACCGTGATCAAGTAGGCGGTTCTCCCATTGCGAGGCCTTACCATTGCACTTCGGTGGGCTGACCAATGCGATTCTGTTTGGAACTCGGGAGTACAATTTCTGAAAGTGGGGACTGCGTTCGCGCTATCCCCCTGCAATAAACCAAAGATAGACAAATACTTACAAAAGTCGATTAAACTGTGATTTTTAATTTACGCGTGATATTACTTAACGACTATAATTTGCGTCAAAAATGTACCAAAGTAAATCCCGTGAGGTGTATTTTTTATATTTTCATGACATACATAGTATGTAGAAGTATGGTGGCCCTGAAGGGACATCGCATATCGCAAACGTGTGCGCACACGTGTGCGATGTCGCAAAATTTATCGCGAATGTGTGCGCACACGTATGCAATGTCGTGAAACAATTCGCGAATATGTGCGCACACGAATGCGATGTCGCGAAATTTATCGCGAATATGTGCGCACACGTATGCGATGTCGTGAAATTTATCGCGAATATGTGCACACACGTATGCGATGTCGTGAAATTTATCGCAAATATGTGCGCACACGTATGCGATGTCGTGAAATTTATCGCGAATATGTGCGCACACGTATGCAATGTCGTGAAACAATTCGCGAATATGTGCGCACACGTATGCGATGTCGCGAAATTTATCGCGAATATGTGCGCACACGTATGCGATGTCGTGAAATTTATCGTGAATATATGCGCACACGTATGCGATGTCGTGAAACAATTCGCGAATATGTGCGCACACGTATGCGATTTTGTTTGCAATGTCGTGAATTTTATTGCATACCTTTGTCGCATACCTTTGGGGTGATGTAATTTTTGCGGGCAATTTGTTAGTGACCTAGGGAGTACGCAAGTGGCCCTGGTCCCATTTTGTATACCCAAGATACTTCAAGGCAGGAGCTTGGGTACCAGGCAGTTACATTTCAGCGTGGCCAAGGTCATACCAAACTAAACTTAGCCGTGTTATGGGCCCAAAACCTAGCCGCGTTCTTAGCCGCGTTCTTAGCCGCGTTCTCAACCGCGGTATCAAAATCTCAAACACATAGAGTAAAAGGTGGTTGCCTCTCTGTTTGTAGTGAAAGGATTTCTTGGACTTTCCCAACGAAATGTTAAAGTTATACAATAAATGTACTATTTTTTATGCTTTCATCTAACCGAACCTTCTATTGGGCACATCATATTTTGGAGGGGGCCAATTCGGTCCACTAATTAGCTGTTAATTAAGGCCCTAATGAGGAGTCTCCATTTTCCACTCTAAAAGTGCACAAAAGGGAATGCTGCTGACCTATAACACCCCTTTAAAACAAAATGTACCCCCACATAGTTTTATAAATTTGAATTTTTATTGCATAATCCATTTCATCCATCTACTGGGAAGATCAAATTTTGGAGGGGGCCAATTCGGTCCACTAATTAGCTGTTATTTAAGGCCCTATCGAGGAGTCTCCATTTTCCACTCTAAAAGGGCACAAAACTGAATGCTGATGACCTATAACACCCCTTTAAAACAAAATGTACCCCACATAGTTTTATAAATTTGAATTTTTATTGCATAATCCATTTCATCCATCTACTGGGAAGATCAAATTTTGGAGGGGGCCAATTCGGTCCACTAATTAGCTGTTAATTAAGGCCCTAATCAGGAGTCTCCATTTTCCACTCTAAAAGTGCACAAAAGGGAGTGCTGCTGACCTATAACACCCCTTTAAAACAAAATGTACCCAACATAGTTTTATAAATTTGAATTTTTATTGCATAATCCATTTCATCCATCTACTGGGAAGATCAAGTAATTTTATCTAGGTGGTATTATTAGCAGTTCGCAGCAGTTCATTTATCATTAATAGAACGTGCAGTTCATGTACAAATTGATCGCAACACCTGCAAATCACGGCAATTTAAATTTGCGTGCGCATATTTATTGGCTGAAATATGACACCACGTGAGTTTCAAACTTGCGCGCGCAAATTTCAAAGTTGCGCAAGTAGCAAGTTTGCGCTCGACAGGTTTATTAGTCAGACCCTATTTATATCTAACAGTACGTCTAGATTCCAAACTAGCTGCTACAACTCCCCAGTTCATTAGGAATTTTACTGAAAGGTATGCGACAAGGTATGCAATAAAATTCACGACATTGCAAACAAATTCGCATACGTGTGCGCACATATTCGCGATAAATTTCACGACATCGCATACGTGTGCGCATATATTCGCGATAAATTTCGCGACATCGCATACGTGTGCGCACATATTCGCGATAAATTTCGCGACATCGCATACGTGTGCGCACATATTCGCGATAAATTTCGCGACATCGCATACGTGTGCGCACATATTCGCGATAAATTTTGCGACATCGCATACGTGTGCGCACATATTCGCGATAAATTTTGCGACATCGCATACGTGTGCGCACATATTCGCGATAAATTTTGCAACATCGCATACGTGTGCGCACATATTCGCGAATTGTTTTACGACATTGCATACGTGTGCGCACATATTCGCGATAAATTTCGCGACATCGCATACGTGTGCGCACATATTCGCGAATTGTTTCACGACATTGCATACGTGTGCGCACACATTCGCGATAAATTTCGCGACATCGCATACGTATGCGCACACGTTTGCGATATGCGATGTCCCTTCAGGGCCACCATATAGAAGGACCTCACCGAGAAAACATCCCACATTTAACTCCGAATTAAGCACAAAACTGGAGTGTTTCGTTTTCAGTAACAATTCAATTTCGTCGTTTCAATCCCTGATTCATTTGCAGTCACTGAAATTGTTCCGAGATCTTCATTTTTTTCGGGTGTTAAATTTGCCGTCGCACTTGCAAAACAAGTCCATGTAAATCGGCAGATATTTTGTGTGGCCGATAGTTTACCGTAAAACCTTTATGCTGCCCTCAGGGCCAAAGTGAAAAGTCGTCTGGTACCTCAATTATAAACACATTTGTTGTGCACACTTTAAAAGTCTAAATTGATGTAAATAAGGAGGGTACCTGACCACAACGAAACTGTAAAGAAAGATGTTTCGACTTGGGCGTTGTAGATTGCGGAAGTTTTTGGCTCTTATTTTTGTGATTTTCTGCGTTTCCGTGTGCATCTTATTCTTGGTATTTATACACTATTGTGTGTCGTAGCATTAGGAGTATTTCTACAACATATATTTACTTTTCCTTTGTACTCAAAGAACGATTCCCAAACCTGGCCATCACTAATTTTTCCCTTCACTGTGTGAGTGTGAGTGTGACTTCATCGGCCATCAGAAAGTGATATGTCCTAAAAAGTCACATTTGGCAGGGAAAATATTGAAGCATTTACTGAGAAAACACAAATTTTCAGACCAGTCTCATAGGGTTTGTGCACAGGGTGACAAGGGATGTCCAGGTGTGGAAATCTTTCCCTTTAATTTTAAAACTAGTTATAAATATTTTTTTTAATTTATATTTTAATTTCAATATATAATTTATTATTTGTTTTAGGTGCTACAGTCATTTGATGAGGAGGATTTTTACTGGGATGATGGTGCCGTTGATTTTCAACAGCAATTTCAGCTGTCTGGTAATGCCGATTACGGTGGAAACATCATTGCACCAGGTAAGCCGTTATTCACTTGTTGGACCTATTCTATTATTCCCCTTGAAAGAGTCTAAAAAGTATTATTGTAATATTACAAATAATCTATCACATTTTCTCCTTTATTGAGATGGTACAGACCAACACACCAGGGATCACGTGAACGTCACCAACATAGACGTCAGAGTACCAATCATCCTTTGGTGGACTCCCTTCACTGCCGAGCGAGGCAAGGTCAAGGCATGCGGGGAGAACAAGTGTTTCTTCACCGTGGACAGACACTTCAAGGATCATCCCAAGACAAAGGTCTTCTTGTTCTACGGCACAGATTTCGTGCCCAGGGATCTCCCCTTGCCGCGGAAAAAAACACCACGAGTGGGCGTTACTTCACGAGGAGTCCCCTAAAAATAACTACATGCTGTCCCACGAAGAGTGCCTGACGCTCTTCAACCACACCAGTACTTTCAAGCGAGAGTCGGACTTCCCCTTGACCACCCAGTATTTGGAGAGTCTCTCCGATTTGACTAGTACGAAGTACTTGGTCCCCACAGAGTATAAGAGCGTCAGCGGGCTGGCTCCTGTGGTATACATCCACTCAGACTGCGATCCGCCGTCTGACCGTGACAGATACGTCAAAGAACTAATGAAATACATACGCGTGGATTCTTACGGGAAATGCCTACATAACAAGGATTTGCCAGTTAACCTTGTTGATCCCTTAACTATGCACAACAAGGGTTTGTATAAAATCCTGGCACGGTATAAGTTCAATCTCGCCTTCGAGAATGCAATCTGCAATGATTACATCACCGAAAAATTCTGGCGCCCTCTAATGTTGGGGTCGGTACCAGTCTACAGGGGGTCTCCAACGGTGCGTGATTGGCTTCCTGACAACCAATCAGCAATCATCGCCGACGATTTCCCGGGTCCCAAAGAACTTGCCGATTACCTGAACTACCTGGACAGCAACAATGAAGCATACGAAAACTTCCTGAATTTCAAGAAAGTCGGTGTAAAGAACCGCAAGCTCGTCAAAACCATGGAAGACAGAGAGTGGGGCGTGAATGATTACAATCGCCCGAACTTCATCGACGAGTTTGAATGCTTCGCTTGTAGACGCGTCCATGAAAATCTAAAACGTGCCTCATTAGGGGTACCTCTTAAGACCTTTCAAGCAAAGAAGGATCATTATGATTGTCCGAGGCCGAGAACTTACAATGACCAGAAATACTGGAGTCCCATAGAGCTGTATCTGCAGATGTATGATAGGGACAAGAACAAAGCAAAAGCGCTAAGGAAGATTGTCCTAGAAGGGCGGAACTTTTCTGTAACAGAATTCAATGAATTGGTATCACGTGAAACAGTTGGTTACAGGGATCATGCATTGTAATTTTTTTAACGCAAACCTTGAAAATGCACCTGTCTGTCCCATTTAACCTGATTTTAAATTTTCGTTTTGCCGTTTTCCAGGGTATTTTGGTGCTTTTGGTGTTATGCTAATGTGCATTGTCATATTCATGACAAAACTGTGATGACATTCTGGGCAGAAACTCAATGTCACAGCTATTTCATCACAAAAAGTTGCTAGAATTTTGGATATTTTGCTGTCGGAAATTTTCTTTTCTTTGGTGATTCATGGTTGTGTCGTTACATGGCAATAAGCCAATATAAGCAAACCTTTCTCACAAAACGTTTTCAATGGGCAAAATTTGAGTTTACAAGTTGAACAGAAATGACATCACAGCAACAGCAACCTCAGTTTTCCAAAAAAAAGCATGGAAACTTGTAAATATTTAAAGATGTGCACTTCTCAATAAAATTAACCAAAGGGAAATAAAAAATAATATGTTCCTAAGTAAAATTCATTGCATGGACCCTTTAACTTCAACAAAAAAAAACCATATGATATAGGAAAATCAAACGTACCTAATAATGTCAATTCTTACTTGAGCCTTATTTACTCGTATTACATGTACAACAGGATTGAAGGGTATTTTAACATTCACTTCAAAGGCATGTGATATTTTGGCGCTTTCTTTTGTATATTTTTGTATTGTGTTATTAAGTATTTATTTAATTAAATGTTAACAATGTACTGTTGGTGTTACGATTTCATGCTGACAATGCAGGCAGACGTGCTAAAGATGCATTGATGTATAAAGTGGCATGATTTAAGTCTAAAAAGTCTTTCCAGATACTTATATTTTGTTATGAATATTTTTGTAATGCCAATTATGTTGCCAAATGTTATATAGCTACATGTATAGAATAAAAAAAGTTAAAATGATCTGCAAATTTGTCTTTTTTATCTAGCATTACATGCTTTCATGTGCTGTTTCACCATGGATTTAAGGAAACACTATTTTTCTTTGTGTCCCTCGGAATTCCTTTGTATTTTTGAACAAAACAAATATTAACAGTGGTCTTTGATTCATCCTCTAAAAGTTGGAACATAGTTGAACTAAAAATCAGTTCACAACACCAGTTCATTTTTGTTCTCGAATCAATGAAATATAGGTCTCGTGAATAAAATAATTCTGGATATTCTTTTTGTATTTCTTTTAAAGCACATGGGCAGCTGGTGGCTGGTAGTTGTCCCAACTCTGCCTTACGGTTGGAGTGTAATAGCGCCCTCTTGTGGTCGTATGCGCAAACATACGGTCTAAGTTAAGTCCAAGAATCTAAGTTAAGAACTACTGCTTGTATACCAAAGCTGTAAATTGTTAAATAAATAACGGTGCGATAACCTTCACAAACACTCACGTAGTCATATTTCGAACAAGATCATATTGGGTCTATTTTTGAGCCGAGTTCTAAAAAAATACATTCCCAACAAACTGATGAATGTTCAAAAGTACAACTGCGTCTTCTTTACTTCAGCAGAATATAGAGAACTGGATGTGCCGCATTATTATCAAACCGTTTTTCGCGGCTAAATTACATATTTTAGGCATGTGAAGTAATAATTATCTATTTGCGATTACTTGCTAGCATTTGATCATTGATGTATCCACTATCCGGTCAATGCCCGCATATGGTCCAAACATATCATCATACCTAATCCCACTAGATTGAAACATGCAAGAGACTCGTTACATCTGTCAGTCATTCATTTTCTGGAGATATCAGCTTTCAGCTGTTGACAAAAAAATGACAGGCGACCTTTTTTTGGGGCCTGATTTCGATACACAGTAATTACTGTTCGTTTCATCAGTTTAGTCATCACTGAGCATAAGTATCGTCTGACCAACAGTTTCGGTTCTTCATCCTTTATCTTAAAGATGTACATCATGTTTGCTGTGCCCTTAAAAAAATCTACTTTTTTTCTCACGTTTTTTCAGCATGTGCATTTCATTTGAGGGATGTGTCCCTAAAATTTGGAGGCGTTTGTAACTCTGAAAAAAAAAATGGTATTTAGGTGGTTGTGTTTTTGTACACAAGCAGATCCACCCTGCCAGTAGACTGTTTCGAAATACATACATTATCGAGTCTATAGGGGCGGGAACCAGTTTACCGCAAGTTTAAAGTTTGTAAAGAATATCGTTCCTTGACTACACGTCGGCCGATATTTTCTTTTGACGTCTTATTTAAAAGCGAAGAACTTTTATTTTGCTTATATATAAAAAAATTAGCAACTATAAAACGTTGAGAGTAAAACTAAAAAAATAGCACTGACAGTCCATCTTTAATTTCTGCTTGTCTTTAAGAAGTACCACTAGCTACTTCTTGCGCAGTAAGATCTGTGTCTCGTGTGCTCTTGTGTCTATAATTTCACAGACTCCAGTCGCCAACTGCCAAACACGACTAGACTGCAGCCCGCGAAGACCCGCCGAGACACCGCAGAAATCCCAGGCGCTATTTGCGAGGTAACCCGATGATCCGTCCGCTTGTCTCTGTTACATCTTGCGGATTACAACGGCGAGTAGGGTTGCCGGGGCATCTTTTGTTGCCAAGAGCGACGGGTATTGCTCTCATTTGTAGAGAGAAGAAAAAAGAAGACTTTTGGAGAAAAAGAGAGAGACACGGAGAGAGAAGAAACCAGCAGGAAATGTTATAAGTCGAGTGCAGGAAGAAATCAAACTTGCTGAGCTCAGCTCCCGGTATGCTGGCGTCGGAGAATCATTAACCGCATCTTATCTTCGCCAGACGATGAGTTGCCATGGTGACGCCTCACCTAAATATCGCTCGACGCCCTTCATACGAGAAGACGAACCTTATTTACATATTTTTGACCGTGAAAAAATTCCTAATACTCGGGACTAAGATTACGTGCATGTATTTTTCACCCAAATGTACTTTTGAAAACTGAAATTTAAATCTTAAAAGATTCAGGTTTTTCCCTTCCCCGAGTTGATATCCCAACTTTTCCAAATGCCACAGTTAAAACTGTATTCACGAAAAATTTCTGAACAGTAAGTAATGAATAAATAAATTGCTAGAGATTTTATTTGCATCGTTCATAACATCTTTGATGGTTCATGACATATTGCTCGCTACATACACAAATTGGAGCGAGCATTTATTGACACGCGCTTGAATTGAATGAACGACTGACGACGGAGTCTAACCACTCACTATACACATGCACAATGCACCTGTCCAATGTCCAATCAACCTGCCGCACCAACTACACGCGTTGCAATGCAATGCACGCAATGCGCACTAATTGAACACACGTAACTCGTAACAGCTGGAGTCGCGTGGTAAGCGTTAACGCCATGATCTGAAAATCTCTGGAATTAAACCCTCCAAAAGCCCTCCAAAATGTCGCAGAAAAGCAGCAAACCGGAGAGGAAGTCGCCCAAGAATGTGGTCCTGTCCTCCGGATGTCTTGCATTGGCGTTAAGCCCGCTGCTCAAGAAAGATTCCGACGCGGAAAGTTTGAAATCTTCTTCGCACCACCACCACCACCGGAAAGTGGGCAAGGAATTGTTCAGGGATTTCCAGCGCGAGAACAAGCACAGCTTCTGGAACAAACCGCTCGCGGAGAGCGTCAAAGAGGTCGGATTCTTGGGCTTTCTGGAGCCTTGGGTCATCCTCATCAAGGGCAACGAGAAGGAGTTGGAATGCTTAAGAGAAGCCTACGCCAGGAGGGTCCTGAAACCGCCGAAAAATTTCACCATCGCAAATTTGGGTGAGTAAATGAAAATGTGTATTCATTGACGCAGATGACCGGTGGAAGAAAACGCAGTGTCTAGTGGTTTTGTTCACTAGGGGATTATCCGTTCCATTGTTACCATTGTTTGCTCCTTGATTGACAATTCGCACAAGCAGTTGGAGGATTCCCTCCCGGATGGCCCAAGTATTGTCCCTTTTATAGAGAGCTTAGCTCTTACTAAGAAAAAAAGCAGGCGATCCAAAGATTTTCTGGTTGTAGCTGGTGATTAAGCAGTTTGTTTACTTTTGCATTACCTTATATTTTTTGTTCGTAAATTAGAAAGTTTCTACTTAGTTCTTGGAATGTTTTTTATTTAAAAAAGGCACCTTAAGTTAAAATACATACATTTTAATGAAATGATTTTTTTTTTGTTAATTTGAAAATAAATAATATGTTATTCAGTCTGCTGTAAAGATGGTTTACTTGTACCAAATTAAAAAAATATTTTCTTGTTCTGCTAGGTTTCTCCGGTTAAAATAAATGGGATTTATTACATCTTTGACTAATATTCAAATTATGTGACTGGCAGATGTATAAATAAATAGTTTTTGAGACTTGAAGAAAAAGGAACACTACTTGTTTCCTTTTTTTCTCAAATGAATCTACTGTTGAAAAATTGGATTGTAGGTTATTCACTGTATGTAGCCGTGCCGCATAACTAGGGTTAAACTTCTAGGGGCGTACCAATTTTTCAAGGGGGCACTGAAGCCTTCAAAAACAATATACAGTTGCCTTCAGTGCAGGCAACTGTATATTGTTTTTGTGCAATTCAAGATTTTAAATGGGGGGGGGGGGGGGGGCACGGACCTCCGATGGGGGGGGGGGGGAGGACATCCCCTATGCCGTCTCTCCCCCTGTAGCCATAGTTACGCCACAGACTGTTTAATGCTGTGGGCTTACTTTTCTATATGGTATTACCTTGGGGTAGTACTTCAGAAAACCAGTTTTCTTTCGTGCAGTTGAGGTTTAAGCATATTTACAGATCTGTTATTAGTGTCCTTAAAAATGATCCAGTTATTTAAAATATATTAAATTGTTGTCCACATTATCCTCTAATTTTAATACAAGTTGGCGAAGTTTAAGATGTTAGTAACGCCTTAAGCCTAACCATGAGCCATGAATATGTCTTTAGGTCAGTCACTAAACAGATGTAATGTTTATTGATTTATTTGATTCCATCAGTTCGCTTCGTCAGTGTCGTCCCCTGTACAACAATAACCATGCAAGGTGCAAACTAGGTCGCGCAGCCACACTTCCAACAAACGGTATTGATTTTGGGTGTTCATATTCAAACTATAAACAAACATTGGAGAGGTTTGTTGTGTGTTATGCTGTCTGGTTTCTGTGGATGTGCACATCGCTGAATGAGAGTGTAATTGGGTATGAAAAGTCCTGATAAGGCTTCAAATGGGATTTTAGAATGTTTTGATAGGAATTACAGTGAGGGATTGGTGGAGTTGCTGGCAAACCAGTGAAAAAAAGATGAACCTCAATTTTTTTTTGGGGGGGGGGGGTTACTATCATAAATAATATATACAATAATTCCAAATTTGACTCGCGTCTGGTTTATTTTTTGTTCTCAAAAAGTTGGACATGTTTATATCCAAACATTTTTTTATTAGTAGAGAAAAT